GTACACCCAATCATCTGCTTTCTCTAATAATTTAAGGAAACGTCAAGTCTTCCACGCTTCGCGCGAGAGGGGGAAACTGAATTCAGATAAATAGGGCTTATTAAGAGTCGAAAATGGTGCAACGAATCGTCTGCTTTCTCTAATAATTTAATCAAAACTTCCGTGCTTTGCGCGGGAGGGGTAAACCGAATTCAGACAAAGATTAAGAGTCGAGCACGGTTTAACAAATTGTCTACTTTCTCTTATAATTTAATGAAACGCCAAAACTTTCGCGCGGGAGGGGGGGGGAGGGGGGAACTGAATTCAGACAAGGATTTACAGTCGAGAACGGTACAGCAAATCGTCTCCTTTTTATAATAATTTAATGAAACGCCAAAGCTTTCGCGCTTCGCGCGAGAGGGGGAAACTGAATTCAGATAAATAGGGCTTATTAAGAGTCGAAAATGGTGCAACGAATCGTCTGCTTTCTCTAATAATTTAATCAAAACTTCCGTGCTTTGCGCGGGAGGGGTAAACCGAATTCAGACAAAGATTAAGAGTCGAGCACGGTTTAACAAATTGTCTACTTTCTCTTATAATTTAATGAAACGCCAAAACTTTCGCGCGGGAGGGGGGGGGGAGGGGGGAACTGAATTCAGACAAGGATTTACAGTCGAGAACGGTACAGCAAATCGTCTCCTTTTTATAATAATTTAATGAAACGCCAAAGCTTTCGCGCTTCGCGCGAGAGGGAGGGGGGATTCATTCAGACAAGGGTTAACAGTAGAGAACGGTACAATAAATCGTCTTCTTTTACTAATAATTTAGGGAAACATCTAAGCTTCCCCACACACCCCTAATGAGCGTGCGTGTGTGCGTGTGTGTGTGTTGTGTGTTTGTGCGTGCGCGATCGCGTGCTCGCTTGCGTAAATTAGTGTGGGTGTGTACTCCTGCTAGTATGTGATGGCTATCGCCGATCATCCCCCCACTCCTCGGTACGGATTTACGCCCCTGATTGGATATAATATACAGAAACAAAGTTGTGAAGTGATATCGATTGCGAGGATCGTAATAATCCTTTTATCATTCCCGGTTAGCAATTCGCAAGGGAGAATTTTAACTCGTGATCACCATTCCCCTCGGCGCTGTGCGCTTCGTGAACATATAACCCCTTTAAAAATGTTAGCTCCCTTCGATAGTCCAAAAATGTTACATCATACCAGTCAATATCTGCATTAGATTCCCTTCATATAACATACGCATTGGTGTCAAAATATACTTTTCAAGACCTTTGCTTTATGCAAAATTATGAATGGTACAGTTTGGTTGCGATGTAGGCCTATGTTCCCTTCTACCTTCACGCTAGCCTTACTACGTGAACGAATAATACGTCAAGTTTTTACGGATTTAGATAGTTCTCTCATATTTCTGATTCACTTTAGCACCATCCAACATTACAAATGTTAGGGTGAATCCAGAAAGGACGTCTCCAACGCGATTAGGATTCACCTGGCAGCCTCTCAATTGTAGAAATGCGAATGGAGTGTTCTGGTACTACTTTGCAAGAATCTACAAGGATGGTGATAGAAGTAATATGATGGCTGGGAGGACATACTTGGATGATGACTTCTCATACTCATCAGTAGAGTTCAATGGTCTTGAGGCATGCACGATGTACGAACTGAGAATCAATGCCGCCAATCGTGATGTGCCGAATAGTGGAAATAATTCGTATGCTACCGGTGTAACAGGAGTTACTTGTAAGTGTCAAATAGTACAAAGAGAATAAATGTTATAATCACCCTTGTGATGTCGCATTGCCTGTTTTGTAAACGTTTTCCAATGATTTGAATTTAGTTCAAAAACTACATAGTAAATCAGAGGCGGCGATTTATTTTCATGACTAGGGGACGAAATGCGAGAGAAGAGGAAGCATAGTGAACGAGAGGGGAGAAGGTGACGGAAGTGACTACCCTGTCCCAGGTTTTTAAAGTTTTGTGGTGTACAAAACAATGACATTCCTTAGCAAAACTATATTATACAAAGTCAAGCAATATACTTGTTCCCACTTCATTTTTACTTTGCCGGTAATTAGTGTGCGGTCCGAAGGGTTGTACATTTGTAGAAGGTAAATTTTAGTAAGTAGGGAGCTTGGGCATGGATGGGATTCCTATTTCCCACTCTAGGCCTCTGTCATTTACATGTTTAGTGATGTCACTATGGGAATATACTATGTTGTAGTGAAGGACCTTGACTTAATGTTTTTAAAAAGATTTACACCATTTCCCCTTAGGTGACAATAATTGTATAACGAGGCAGGAAGGAACTCTTTAAAAGATCAAGCGGAATATTAATTCTTGTAGCACTGATCTATTTCTATAACTCTTAATCTTTTAGTGTAAACTGTGCTAACGTGATACCAAAGGTATACAGGTTTTCTACAATATTTACTTGTACATTTCGAAGGATGTTATGCGAGTGAACGTAGCGACCGAGTTAAAATATTTCCCTTTTTTTAAAGTCTTAATGCTGCACTCTTGGGCCCTCCAGAACCAAAAAGTGTGTTGCAATGTTTAGTCAGTATTTGCCTTGCATTTGTTTGTGTGCACTTTTTCAAATTTTCCGGGGGGTGGGGGACGATTGAGGGGGCATATTTGTGGGAGGGATCCACATTCTTATACAGTGATAACAAGGTTTCCTTCACTGTATATGTCAATATACATGTACATTGATATGTGTTTAACAATAAATTGCACTTTTAAGGATCATGTCTTTGAGACAATTAAGGATTTTCAGGTAGGAATTACAATATTTTCCCCGTTACAAAGTTTCGTTTTTACAATATCAATTCTTTCAATCCCAGCCATTAAGTTTTATTGGCGAAACGACTTATACTTATTCGTTTGACCCATTTTCGGGTAATTTTCATAAATGTTTCAAACGGTTGTAGGACATTTGCCCCCTAGACATCCACCCCGGATAACCACCCCAGGTCAATTACCCCCTAGGAGAACAACCCCTAAGGCAACGACGCTTTAGGACAACAACCCCCGGACAACTACAGCCAGACAACTAACCCCTAGGACAACTAATCCCCAGGACAACACCCACGGAAAACTACCACCCGGACAACTACCCCCAGACAACTACCCCTTACGAAAAATATCCTCTAAGACAACTTACTCCCGGACAACTATCATAGGGGATAGTTGTTCGGGGGTATTCGTTCTAGAGGGTGGTTGCCCTCGGGGGTAGTTGTCCTATGCGAAGTAATTTATGCATAGCTGATTGTCAAAGAAACGGAGTTAAGCCTTTTGTTAATTCCGTTTCTTGCTACGGCAGGGAGCCAGTGAAAACGAATTCGTTTGATAAAATTATGGAAATGCAAGCACTACTTTAAACAAACAGAACTTTGTCATTCCTCGCTCATTTTTCCTGATTGAGGTGTCATATGAAAGGGCAGAAACTAAAATTTCTAGAAATGTGAATTTCCTTTCCAAATTCAGATACCGCCCGCCAAATGACTTTTTGGTTTTATTCCTTCAAATTGCTTTTAATTACTCATGCGTGAAATATGCATCATATGAGTTGCATCAAATGAAAGAGGAGGCTCTAAGCTTTACAAATATGTGTCATTTATTAATACAAATTGTGATTAAGTTATGATAAAACATCGATAATTCTCGGTTTCGTTTTTTCTGAGACGTTATCATAAGAGGAAAAAGTACAGGTAACCATTTACAGAGTGGTTCTCTGTCTAATATGCCTGTTGTAATGTAACCCTTCTAGAATGCCAACACCTCTCCTGAAATGTACAATATTTCAAAAGATTAATAATTTAGATTTTTCTTTTTACTTGTTGAATATGTGTTGAATATAGTCACAAATGCATCCGCTTATGCAACTGGAAATCAACCCAGTCTGACAGTTCAGTGGAGTGTTCCGTCTCAATGCAATGTGGATTACTACAGGCTATCATATCAGCTCATCTCACATAAGGCATGTCAAGATGTTCCTATAATAGATGCTCCAGTCTACGAACTCAACGTCACTTCAAATTCCACAGATGTCTCCAAAAACCTTTCAAACTTGGAATATTCTGCAACTTATAGCATATCCATCATAGCTGTGATTTTGACAGCGGAGAGCTTACCTATGAATGTTAGTGGAGACACACGAGATGGAGGTATATACACAATCATGATAGTACTTGCGTCGTTACTAGCGTCGGCGTATTTACGGGAAAGAGACAAAAATCGAATAAGAGAAAGAGAAAGGGTATAAAGCGAAGAAAAATATGATTATAATGTAAACTCTCAATTTGCAGAATAAATAGCATTCGCCTTCTCGCTGCACGTTTAAACATCCGAAACATAAGGCGCCTCTTGGCGAACAATCCTTTTATAGTAGACAAACAGACATTGAATTGAATTTCGTTCAAGCCTTTTCTTTTTTAAATGTTTTTTTTATTATTTCTTTTTGTGAATCATGAATTTCTCCTCGGTTTGAAAAAGACGAATTTCCGGTGGGTGACAACGAAACAAGTGCAAATTCAACAGGAAGATGTCCATTCAACACTACTCAAGGTTAGTTTTCATTGGCTTTCATTTATTCTAATTCCAGGAAGTAGACGGGGAATTAGGTTAAGTAGAAAGACTAATATGACATTTTCCCTAAAGGTTTTTTCAGATATGGCGCAGTAAACCGCCGCAAAAAAGCCGTTTCTTGAATAAAAATGAATTTAAGCGAGGCACACGTAGAAAATATCAACAGGAACCCTTAGTCCCCAGCCCTCCGACCCAATTAATATTCTAGATCCGCGCATGTTGTTGTATAGTTCCAGAATCATGAAATACTTGAGAAATTTCAATCAGAGACAGTACTTCTTTACTTGATTTATGTCTCCTCGTTTCTTCGTAATAATAATTTTTTGACAGTTTTCTTTTGATAAATATATGTATATATTTTGTTTTATACCGAACAGCCAATGAGCCCATTGGACGGGCTCTGTGTATCCGCGATGGTATTAACCAGAGCCAATGGCAACACGTGGATAATTGCGGACCAATTAGAAATGTCACAGATACTCTCACCAAAATAGCTCAGGTTTTTGGAATTTTTCTTTTAAAATGTGATCATTGAAAAGAGGCTTTTTATAATGTTCATATACTATGCAAAGCAATTGTGTATATGTACCGCTTATATCTCTAACCTAAAAACGTTTTTTTTTGTTTTAATGGATAAATATATTCACTTCATGTTCCCTTTTTAAAGGTAAAGACCAGTATTGGAAACGCCCCAATTTAAAAAAATGCAATGGAAGCTCTTATTACCAATCATGTGAAAGAATATGTTTTGACTATTACATGATGATTATAATTTTGCCGGGAAACCGCCTACTAATTGATATATTTGGTAAATTAGTTTATCTACATGGTCTGTGAGAGATAAACGCACGTGTCGTGCACGTGTGCGTTTAGTCTCATGTGCATCTTTCTGTGTACAGTGCTTGTAACTTTACGAAGACTGGGTCATATATCTTATCATTTTGATGATTCCAGAACCTCGCAGTACACACCAATACTTGTATGCTAGATGATCAACCTTTTCTGATCGATTCCACAACGTTTCTTTCACAATGCAATCGCATGACCATAACTGGTCTTTACCTTTAATCAATTTGTTTGTGTTAGTATACCCCAATTGTTCATTTGTAAACTACTAAATCATGGATAATAGGTAATGCATATCCCAGTCCATCAATTCTGCTGATTGTTTTGATGTCATTCCATTCACAAAAGTATTGGACGATTTATAGTCGAGGCGGCAACATATTCACTGACATATCCATTGACAAAACTTAAATAAGAGCAGTTGCAAAAGGACTACCCATCTTCACTCTTTAACTCTTGATAAGGCATTGAAAAAAAATAAGTTAAAATTGTAGAAATTTAACCATTCAATTGCATTTATAAGATGTTGGTCTGTTCAAAATCCTTTAAGAACAATAAGCGATTATAACCGCCAAATTCACTCGGAATTTATCTTCCAGTTCATGAGTTGTGATATTAGATATTATGGGACACTGTTTTTGTTATAATTAAGATGGTATACGGATAATGAACCTAGCATATATCATTTCAATATCGAAAGGGAAACATGTCCGCAACTTTTGTAATACCTTAATGAGGTAAAGTAGATCATTTAAAATATAAATGCTGTAAGATTTTCCCCTCAAATTTTAGGTAATCGTAAGTGAAGAAAACGCAGGTGAAGTGAGCCAGCAAGTATCATCTGTTACTTCCAACATCGAAGATATCACATCAGATGACATCACGTTTGTGGCAAAGATAACATCACAAATTGTGCAGCAAAATCTTACAAGTGAAGAGGTATTCTGCAAGTTGACTAATCCTATTGAGCATGAATTAAGTTGCGATGGATGATGAATTTAATTTTGTTCCGATGATTATCTAAAGGGAAGAAAATTGGGGTCTTCCCTCCGATACATGTAAAGTTTTTTCATAAACATGAAAGAAGTAAACCCCATAACCGTTTTTTCACAATATTGGAAGCCTTGAAGCTTAAGTAATGTGGATGAAGAATTTACCAGAGCCTTACCCTTTATCTGGCTCTTTTTTGGAACTTTAGAATTATATTTTATTGGTTTTGTCCCTGTTCTTTCATATCTTTCTGACCACTTGGCGGTTTCTCCTTCCAGAGGTGGCGTAACAGCTTCAAAATAACAGCTGTCATGTTTAATACTTTCGTCAGTCAGATTTCCGAGATTTGCCAACTTTCCGCAACTATGGTTGAAATAATGTTTACATTTCGTGTTTAATTTGACAGGTAACGGAGTCTATAACGAGTATTGCGAGCAATATAGCTCAGGTAGAAACAGAGGAACTTGTAGCTGCTGAGGAAGACGGTGGGGCAATATCTAAATTTGTCCAGGCTTTTGAGGAACAAATCAGTCGTGTTGAGGTTGCCGATGGTGAGATGCTCAACATTCAGCAGCCAAATGTAGCAGTACAGGTGATTTTAAATTATATTATAGACTTTGAACACATAATTTGATCTTAACCAGGACTCTAACATACAGAACCATGTTATAAATTATGTAATTGTTTGCATGGAGTTTCAAGAACAACAAAATCGACACTGCCATTCGTCCATTTGTGGTCTCATTCTATCCAACAAGGCGCAACACTCCTACCATTTTTCTTTATACTTTAAAAAAGATCTACCAAAACATCACCATTCGTTGTGCATTTATGTGTGGAGAGAGTGACGGGACACATCACATTTTTAGGGAAATCACTTTAAAACATCTGCATTATAAATACTTCAGTAGAAACTGATGGATCATACGTAAATTAGAGGGAATTATATAGCCAATTCAAATAGAAACGTATTTGGATTATTTTTGACACCTCAACTCATCTTCTACTACGAATCTGTCAAGGGGAATATTCCATAGCGAAGGTTCTCTTCCAGTATACAAAAGAGACATATTTTGTTAGTCACCTGGTCATTATGTTTTTTGGGGGAGGATGGAAACAGGCCATTGTTTAATATTTTGTTTGACCTGTTCTTGTTTTGTAAGGCAGAGCCATAGGCAAATCGAATTGAAAACAAATCAAGTATTGAAGTTTTAATTCACATAACAGGTCCAGAGTGTACCTGCTGAAGATATCATGCGTGGTATCGTGCTTTCGCTAGCTGGATCCAGTTTGTCAGACCTGACCAAGTCTAATATTACCATCAATGCTCCGACCCAAGATGACCGCAATGACATCATCGCCCAGGTCAACATTCCATCTTCACTCTCAGGATCGCCATCAAATGGCAGTGGTGAATACGTCCGGGTCAGCTTCTATGTATTCTCGACTCCTGCCCTGTTCATTTCTAAGTCATTACGCACAATCAGTGCAGATAATGAACGCTTCAATCGATCGGCTAACTCGCCATTGATTTCTCTCAGTATTGGTCAAGGGAAAGTAGCAGCCTTGACCGAATTCATCAATTTTACCTTCACTACACTAAAGGTAAGACCTATATCAATGACATGGAATGGAAGGTGTTTCTTCATTATACGTACTTGTAATCTGCCTTTAGCAGTATTTATAGATAATACAATGTCTGAACATGTATTCCGAGCAATTTTCTTTCTGTTTTAACCCCTGTGTTTGACACGCTCCTAAATGGGCTTTTAAAGCCACACTGTTCTACCGACTTGTAGCTACTTGCTCCCTCTATATAGAAAACAATGCTTAATCGGTGAACATTCGTCCCCCATGATCCTCTTTTCCTTATGTTAATTGTGAGGTGAGTTGATCTTGTCCAGTGATCTCGCAGAGGGGGGTGGGGTCTAATCCCTCCTATAAACTGGTACAGATAAGCTATAAACTATACCAATCAAAATGATTGATCATTATTAATTATGGCAAGCTTTATCTAACAAATTTGATTATGGGTCTATGGATTATTTGCCTTTTGTTGTTGCTGTTGTATAGTCTGGATACGTGAATCCCATTTGTTCATTCTGGGATGAGGAGAAGGAAGATTGGTCTCAGGATGGATGTGTTCTTGTTTCTGGATTCGGATCATCAGATGATCGCTATGATGAGGAGGGTGTGCGCTGTGCGTGTGATCATCTTACCAACTTCGCTGTTATAATGGTCAGTGAAAAGCAATTTCGCAGTAATTATATCCGTTGCACCGGTCAACTACTCCCCGGACAATTTCCTCTGGACAACATTACCCGACTCACTAAACGCTTTTGGTTATACTAGATCTATAAGCAGTATATATTACGCCAGCGGTGATGCGAATGGATACGGCTCGAAGTTTCTTTTCAGACTGGTGAAAAAATACTACACGTAACAGGTATTTGGGGACTTATTCGACCTCGAACAGTAACCCTTGTACTTCTGAAAAAAATATAATATAAAGTTGGTCTTTAAATGGGTTGAATCATAATGTCACATGTTGAGATCAAATAAAATTTGAAGGTATGGACTCTTGTGTAAAAATTAGTAAAATGATATCCTTTTCTTTTATCCATCAGTTCGTCGCTGTTTTCACGAAGTGACGGTAGTGAAAAAAAATTGCATTCACTTTGCGTTACGATTTTCCTCACTACCGTCACTTCGTGAAAACAAGGACGAGTTATATGAATTTGTACCCTATTCATAAAAATACCCCCCCCCCCCGAAAAAAAATAAAAATAAATAAATAACGCCACAGAGACTTTATGAGAGCTCATTCCAAATATTCAGTTTCATTTGAGCATGAGAAGAAGACGTTTTATTTAGGGCTCAAATTTATTTTATGCTACAGGATATCCATAGACAGGAGGATTCATTAATCGAGGCATACAACATCCTGACTTACATTGGATGCTGTATTTCTATCTTCAGTCTTCTTGTCACATTGGCAACCTACCTGTGGAACAAGTGAGCTCATTAACAAAAATGTGCAATTATTATGTAATTATTCTCAGGCCATTCTATCTTCGATTTAAGTTGGAAGCTTTTGAACAAAAAATGTAAACATATACCATGAAAGAGATTAATTTTTAGAATTTATTAAATAATCATGCGCATTTAAATATGTCCCCTTTGTATACAAATTATCTCAAATCAAATGATTTCTGAAACACGTGTACATTTGCAGCACTGTTCTGTTTAGTATCAATAATGTACAGTTCGAGATAAACAAAATTTAAAAAAAAGGGGGAAGAGAAGGGGGAGGAGTGGAAGAAGAAGGAAAAGAAAAAGAGAAACAGCCATAATATGATTAGGCTACTTGCTTCGTGATGTAGGGTTGAGCGACGAGGGTAATAAGTAGGTTACCATATTCATGTGTTAATATCAGTACCATATATTGATATTCTATCAATTTTGTAGATGAAATCCTCTGCTTCATGGTGTGAAGTTTTTATACAATAGGAATCACATTCATTTCGAACAGCTTTGGCGTACATATTTTTACAATTTGACATCGTCGTGAATAGTTACAACCAGATTGATTTTATTAAACACAAGTCACCATTCTGAGTGTTTGTGCCCAGTAGGAGAGATAATAAGTAGAGCAAAATCACGTAATATCCTTTATTTTACACACGCTTTCTACCTATTTTGTATTTGCTGTTGTTGTTGTGTGACCTTTTTATTCTTCTGTGCTAATGATGAAGTGATGGTAATCTTGTACATGCATGGTATAGTGTTGCTTCGATGCTTTCCTAACCTATTTTTAATGTTACAATCTTGATAGGGATTTGAGGACAAAACAGACTAACCAAATCTTCATCTGTCTGTGCTTGACCTTGCTGTGTCTCTACACGACATTTCTCATCATGATCTCTCTGGATTCTATCAGAGATTATCGTGAGGTCCAAGCTGGACCCTGTGGGTTCCTGACGGCCCTAGTTCACTACTTCGTGTTGTCCTCCATTGCATGGATGGGTGTGGAAGGGTACAATACCTACCTTGTCCTTGTGAAGATCTTTAACACCTACATCCAGAATTTCATGATCAAGGCCTTCTTAGCTGCATGGGGTAGGGTATTTGTTTCCTTCAAATATTTTTTCTAGAAATAGTGCGTGCTTATGACATGAAGTGCCTGTTTTCTTCTTTACACATTGAAACATTCGACCAACTTGTTTGAGCTTATACATGTAGGTACTGAAAGTATCCATAGAAAATGAGTTTGGCAAGGTGCGACAACCTGCTCTGCTGCGATCAACCTTCTGCAATCAAAATAATAATGAATGGGCGATCAAAGGAAATTATTTTTATATCAATATAACAAAGGACATCTTTATTTACCTGTTTTTTAATAAACAAAATTAATTAAACAAACTCTAGAAGGATAATACATTAATTTCGCCATGCTAACTGAATGGTCATTGATTATGGAAAGATCACATTACGACTAACTATAGTCCAACAGGCATCAACTAATAATGCACATGAATTAGTCAATGTTGCCATCTATGTGTAAATTCTTCATTATTATTATTACACGGCTCTCGGCATGGCATGTAATTTATACATAGAAGACTCTAGACCCCCAAAAGTATAATAATCGCGATATCTAATTCATTACACACAAAAATAATAGAGTTGCCATAACCGCGGGTAAAATGTGTGAGCTGGACAGCACACCGATATCATGAGTAGACATTCTGAAGAAACTAGGAAAGGACTAAGTGAGGCCCATGTTCAATGTAACCGTACTATGAATGACTTAAGATTTATTTTGTTCTCATACACGTATGTCTTTTCAGGAATTCCTGCTTTCATCGTGGTTCTGACCGGAGCTATTGCTAGAGGCTCTTATGCTCATGATGATCTGTAAGTGGTAATACTTGAAAGTTGAGCTAGAATATTGGATTGCATAGCATATGGTAAACCTAATGATCTTCAAATGTCAGATTCAGTAAAAATCATATTTCTGTAATTCAATCTACTTTACAGGCATTTGGCATTTTGGTATCTCGTGAGTTAGCAAGTATGCATTTATGATCTATAATTTGTATCAAATTATCACTTTCGGGGGTATGTGATGTGATCCAAGCTCTAGAAAGGCAATCAACTTTAATACAGTTAACACACATACTAAAATCTCAGATATTTTTGGTAATGGATGGGACAACAAAGCTTGGACTTGCCAACAACAAAAGATAGTTCAGTTCTTGTATAGAGCATAAAACGTTAAGAAATAGCATCTCTATGCGCTTCCAAACAGCTTTGGAAATTATTACCCTTTTACCATAATGGGAAATAATGTAGTATTAATGACTGCTTTGAGAGAAATAGATACTTTAATATGCCGAAAAAAGTCAACATATGACTCCTCCTTGGCTTTTCTCTAGTTTATCTGCACGGTTGTTTTTTATTACTATGACTGAGTGTATCTTTGAGAGTAGACTAGATCTAGATTCTAGTCTAAGGAAGATATTTTTACAATTTTGGGGGTGGGCCGGCCCTGTGGGGAATATGGAGAAAAACCTGCTCTTTCATATGACACATCACTTATTGAGTATCACCTTCAGGATCACGAGCAATATTAGTTTGAATCTCATAAGTGCGCAATGCATAGGGATGTGTGCAATCTCTATCAACAGAGATTGCACACATCCCTATGCATTGCGCACTCATGAGAGTATATGGGAAGGATTTTAGCACTACTACTAGATCTATTTTCAATATATTATGGAGAATTTGACGTACCCTTTTGAGTTCTTGCTGACTTGCTGACAGCAAGTCTTGCGTTTGATCATCATCAAGAAGTATACATCTTTTGCCCGAGAATGCCGTTCTACGGTCGTTTGCTCTGTGCTGTGCTGTATTAAACATATCGACCAATTCTTCGCACACGTACGGTATCCTCGATCGCTCAAACCAGTTTTTAACATGTGAACCTATGGGTATCTCACCAAGACTGAACTATTTTCCTGGTAACCATGGTAACTGGAATTTTGCCAGGATTTTAGAATTATTGTTTTAGAACTATTACATGGGTTTGGAATTTTAGCGGGAATTTTACAGGAATAGTTAAAGTTTATGAATGCAATTTCGACCAATCAGATGGCTTGATTTCTTAAAGGCACACTGCCATACTTGTAGCTACTTCCTCCCTCTATATAGAAAACTTCCCGAATCGGTGCCTGTTGGTCCCCCATAATCCTCTTTTTCTTATGTTAAATGAGAGCTGAGTTAATGAGATAGCCACCTGTCACAGCGACCTTGATGGCTCTCTGTGTGGTCTAATCCCTTCTGGCCCAGTAGTGGTGACGGTCTTTAAGTGAGGTATATAATGAAACATGACAATTGACAGTTGAATTGTTTTAAGGACCATGGACATTTCGTTAAACTATCACTATGATAGTCAGTACTGATCGATTTAATTTAGTCACTTTACAAAATGCAAATTTACTATCAACAGATGCTTTCTACAATTCTGGGCTCAAATCGGTGGTCTCCTGATTCCCATGGCCATCATCCTCCTCATCAACATTGTCATCTTCATTCTGGTGGTTCGACAGTTGCTCCGGTCAGCCAACATCGCTGGTCGGGTGAAAAGAGAGGCTAAGGTAGAACGTCGAGAGACTATCGAACGCGTCCAGAACGCGATCTGCATCTTGCTCCTGCTCGGTCTGACCTGGGTCACTGGATATCTTCTCTTGATCCCGTCATTCAGTCAGGTAAAGCCAACAAGCTTCAATATTATAACTCCTGTGTGGTATTTATCTCTTTTAAGAAATATCTTGAAAGCTCAGTTGTGATAATTAAATACACCAGCAATACCTCTTTAGATGTTAAGTATCTGAAGGATATGAGAGAGAATGCCATATACCTAATCATTATTTCTGAAACATTTGCGTTTAACAGGTGGCTCAGCCAATCTTCGTCGTCCTGAACTCCTTCCAAGGATTGTTCATTTTTCTACTCTACTGCGTCCGGAAGCCTCACATCCGTAAGAAGTGGGGGCTAACTTGTTTCGACAAGTTGCTAAAGAACGGAGCAAGCACTTCCAGTAGTGTGGTGAGTTCGACGGCGTCATCCTCGTTAATTGGCATGGTAAGCAAATTGCGCCCAGGAGCTTCGGGTAATTACTTGCTGCCTACCAAAGACGACAATCCCAATGCTATGTGTAGGTTTAATCCGACCTATGATGACAGCCAGATTGAGGAAGGGGTCACACCACCTATACACAAAGATATCCAGAACTCCACCGAGGACCAGAAAAGGGACACAGATCGTGATGCAACAAACACTGATGTCGTGACGGTAAGTCTCCCACGTAATGCATCTGTCAGAGGTGATGATGTTTCCACCACCACGAATGCTGACACAGTCAGTTTTACCCTGAATGTAACTGATGTCAAGAAAGCTACTGAGGGCAACGATGATTTTGCTTCCATCAACAATGATGCTCATGTTAGGCTCCCTAATGATGCTACGGATGGCACCATGCACAATGAGAGGAGTGATGATGTTGCTTCTGCAACAAGTGATCCAGCCGTCAATCTTCAAATGGATTCAACAGACGTCAGCAAAGGAAAATAGAGCAGTATCATCGATTCCATTGGCACCACCATTTGTGCAACGGCCACTGGCTCAGTTGAGGTTTTGACTATAGCGATGCACTTGACTTGTGGCTTATAAGAAGGTCGTATTAAGAGAGCATGATATTGTATTAGCATACTAGGCAGGGAAGGGGTGGGACAGGCGCCAGCTGAATCCCCTCTTTCCCCGAGGATTTGAAAATTACCAATATTCCGTCACCACATACTCGGGAAATACGTAATCAATTTTTTACATCTATACTGTATTTAAATGATGAAATTATATCTCTTCATTTATATATTTGGTAGCTTATCGAAGTATTAATGACCATATACATTTGTTTTCATGCTACTTCGTGGTGTTTTACTCAGAGAAGAGGTCTTTTTAATTTTGCCGAAAATATGATAAGATGGTGCGATGATTTCTTTTTTCTTAATCATTTGTATACATGACTAGATAAATATGTATTTGTATTTCAAAAGGATATTATTAGAAAATAAAGGTTGCGTAGCTTATATCGAAGTTCACAAATTTCTGTCTTTTTTTGTTGACATTTTGGCAGAGGTTGAAAAACTGTTTCCATTGGGAATCGAATCGGGTTACTGGTTGAGAACGCCAATGCCTTATTCACTAATCCACAGAGACGGGCCAGTAGCTTCGGCTACACACATATCCAATTGACAGACAGATTGACCAATCTCTAAGCTTCATTTATTAATTCCTTTGTTGGGGGCAGGCGAGTTTTGAACAATAAAAAGCCGCTCGACTCAGTTCGATCCAAGCAAATGCTTTCAGATTCACGTATAGCTTGGAATAACTGTAAACAGATGTAAATAACCTCTACAACCGCTTTGGCGACTTTCTTGGAAAAATATATATTCATGTATAATAATATAATGTGTCTGTTTATGTATTGTTTGTATATAGATGTGTTTATGGAATTCATCGAATCATGACCTAAGATCCAGTTTTATAATTAACAGATTTAAATCGATGTACTAAAAAAGATATTATTCAAAGATTGATATCTGTTGGTGAGTAAGTACTTCTTTTTCATTTTTGTTAAATACTTTTATTTGATTCTTTCTTATTTTTTATCCTTTCTATTCCTTCTGCAAAACCGTCCGTATGAATGTGTTTATGTAGGTGTGTATTGAGAGGCTGGTATTATGCAAGTCTTTAACATTTTATTAATTATGCTCATTGTCCTATTTTTGTTTGTTGATGGGCCCTGATTACAAGCAATTTTGCTTTATATTGTCTTTGTAAAATGTGTTATAAAAGTTGAATAAATGCTGAATTGAATGTATATATTGATAATTACATTTATGTTTGAGGCCTAGAATCTTGACATGCGGTATATAAAATTCTTTTCTGTTGATTACATGGATATACATCCAATGTATAAGTCAGCATTTAATTTTATGCTGGGAAAAAAGTTACCAACAGTTAATCTGAAAACATGGATATACATCCAATGCATAAGTCAGCATTTAATTTTATGCTGGGAAAAAAAAGTTACCAACAGTTAATCTAATTTTGCTGTTGTATTTGTAATGCTTTCTAAATGTTAATAAGTTGGATGAAGAAACAAAAATTGTTTTGAAAGAGATGCGTACAAATGATGGAAAAATATTGCCCTTTCGTGCAACTTTGTGTCATTCGAGTACTTGTACCAACACTGAAATGAATGGTAATGAGAAAGTACTAGCTGAAAGAGAGAGAGAGAGAAAAAAGAGAGAGAGAGAGAGAGAGAGAGGGGGGGGGAGTATACAAAGAGATAGAATTGTAAATAAGGAGAGAGACTGAGAGGGAGAGTAAGAGAGAGAGAACAAGATAGAGAACTGTGGTCCAGATATGAAGAGAGAGAGAAAGGGGGAAGAGTACAAGAGAGAGAGAATTGTGGTACATAGGGAGAGAGAGAGAGAGAGAGAGAGAGAGACTGAGAGGGCGAATAAGAAAGAGAAAGAGCGTAACGAAAGAGAGGAAAAGGAGAGAGAGAGAGAGAGAGAGAGAGAGAGAGAGAGAGAAGAGGGAAAGCCAGGTGTAGTGGTCCACCTCCACAACCCTTTACTTATACCGGAAGGAGAGACCGGGGATTACAGTTATTTAATTTACTTCTTCCCTCACATGCACAGGTGACGCCAGTTAGCCTAATGACCAAAAACTTTTCGGAGGGGGAGGGGGGGGGGGGCAGAAGAACAAATATTTGCATCACCACCACTCTTACATGTTTCATGCAGGCCCCGCGAAAAAAACAAAATCAAAATAGGGGGGGGGGGGGGCTACAATCGAGTGGAGCGTAAATTGACGTGGGGTCTACGAGTAAGGTCTTGGTGGGGTCCAGGGGGCGGACCCCAGAAGCTCAGGGGTTTCAGGCATTTAATAACGGTCAGATGAGCTTTTGTTGATACCTTATATGTAACACCAGCAGATCGCCAATTGGCGTGGGGTCAAGGGGACCGGGAGCCCCAGGAAGCTCAATTTTTTTTAAGGCATTAGATTACGGTCAGATGAGCATCCAGGGCCTTTGGTGGAGTCCGGGGGGAATAGCCCTCCCCCCCCCCCCCCCCCGAAAAAAAAAATCAAAAAAATCAGGGGTGTTAGTTATAAGTAAACCAAAATATACCCAAAGTTTATTTTTGGAGTAGTATTTATTCCTCTTCAATTATTCAGTCATAAATATTAATAATCATTAAATAAGTAGACCTTATTGGTGCATGGTAGACGAAATATGTTTTTTTCTTTTTGCTAGTGGTGGCACTTTAGCAGGAAGGGGGGTATAGTTAGCACTTAATATATATATATTTTTTATTTTATTTTGATCAACACCCCCCTCGACCCCCTTTTTTTCTTTTTGCCAGAGCCACCGGGCCCCTAACCCCCCCCCCCCCCCTTCCCCACTGGATTCGCCACTGGGAAGTCCACCCTGATATCAAGTTGGTTTTAATAGAAGCAGAAAATGAGACAAAACAGGTCAGTGAAAGTTGAGACAAATATGACTGTCATGGAGTTTTTTTTCTCGAATTATAGGACATTTGGCTTGCCATAAGTACTGCTTATGCTCAAATTGTCACATGTCACTGGAAGCATGTTTGTCAAGGGACAACAAGAATTTGAAACATTTTACACACAATTTAATAACAAGTTAATTAATAGCATAATATGTTTTTAAATAAGTAGAAAGGAAGAGGAAGACAACAATAATTCGACAATCAACACTTACCCACTATATCAATACGGGCAGGAGGAAAAGAATGAAAAACATTTAAGTATGTTCAATGTGATATTCATTTCTAAAGTTTACTATTTTTTAATGAATTGTTGATGGACCCCAATGAAAGGTAACATTTGTGCATAACAGGGTGGTCCATCCCGCATATGGTAAATAATTCAATGCATCAATTAATAAGTAAATAGATAAATACATATTAAATGAATACATAAATCAATATGTAAAAAAAAATCATTACAAAAAACTTGTGATACACACATAAACCGTTCCTGTCTCATGGCGGGTAAAACGATTACAAACAACATAATATAAACATTTGAAAAGTACAATACAACATTTTGTGTGGAGGTTGATACTATTTTTTTTTCTCTCTCACAAGGATGCCAGCACTTTGACATCTTTAATTATTAAAAGATAAACTGTATTGTTGTTCTAATTAACAGGAACATTTTATTTCAGCATAATTAGAATAACAAGATGTGATACTAAATCAAGTTACACTTACTGTTGTTATTTTGTGTATCCCAATGGTGTTATACGCTGAATTTTTAAGATGAAAGAAAATAAATCATGAAAAATAGAAATGGCGAATAATTATCATATAAAATAAATAAAGTGAAAACAAACAAAGAAGGACAAGACCAAAAATAAGAGACTCGGTCCCTAAAACCTTGAATACATTAACAGCACAATTTGCCGAGATATTGATCCTTCATGCATATTAGTCAATGTTGGCACTAAAGAAAATTCAGTTTAATTCGATTATTCGAGTTATCGAATCAGCGCATTTGTGAGAGAATGCAACGTAAACAATATAGTTCAGGGTCAAAGTTCTTTACGCTTGCAAAGTGCAGAAAGGTCAAAAGAGAAACTATTAGTTAAGCGCATCGCGCGCGATACCGGTAAAGTGCGCGCATTCCAAGTTAGCATGCGCGGCACAACAACTGAATTCGCCTCACATACTCAACAAGTTCCACTGGGGTTGGATGTTTTTCTTTTAGTTCTCCCAGATTTTAGGAACAGGAATATTCACGTAGGAACAGGAATATACACGTAGGAACAGGAATATACACGTAGACATATACTTTTTAGGTGTCTACACTTGAACAATTTTATTACCAAGACAACTTTTAGTTTTACCGTGCTGGCTCGTCGAGGATGGTTTAGCCCACACTATCGCCTGGTATAACTCTGGAAGTGATTATTCTGGATACATAAAAAGTACAGGGGATCTATAGATCTAGACTCTAGATCAAGTCTAGATCTACTCTACAAACTAAACTGGACTATCGCGCTCGATCAAGCCCGAACTTGACAGTGACAATGGGGAAGAAAAGAGGCGGGCAGACGACTAAACGCAAAGATCGCGAGACCAGAGCATCAACACGGAATGTTAGTGTTACCACTGGCACAGGACCCAGCACGAGAGTGACAAGGCCTAGTAGTATGAAGGGGTGACCAAAGTTCGCGCAGATTTTAGAACAAATTAGAAAATGTGATATTCGATCCATGTTTTCTCATATTCTACACAAATTTATTTATTTTAATTACTACCAAATGGACGGCAAAGTATTTTACTACCAATTGGTTCAACTACAACATTTATCGTCGAAGGATTTCGGAGATATCGCGATCTAAAAATTCGATGTCCGATCGTGCATGCGCGCTGCATCTAAAAAAGTCATAAAAACAACGAGACCTAAGTTCACGCACGGGGGTTTACAGCTGATTTATACAAAAATACGATCCATCAAAAATAAGGTAATTTCATAATTTGCAAGGCAAAATATCATACAACCAGACGGTACCACTTATTACTTACAATTTTGAGGATATCTGCTCTCAAAATGAAGATTTCCAGACCCTTATCGGTAAGTTGGTAATTTTTCGGAACGGACGCAAATAACTGCAAAATGTGCCGATCTTTTGTCAATATTTTCACAATTTCGCACCCAATTCCAAAGAAAATTTCGTTTCTGGGTAATTTTATGATCCTCTTTCCATTGGTGATATCAGATTTTCGAAATCTTACCGATTTTTTGAGAAAGCGAACTTTGGTCACGCGCGAACTTTGGTCACACAGCCATAGTAGGGCCTACTACTAGCTCTAGGCCTACTACTAGTAGTAGGAGAGGGAGATACACGTCTAGGTCAATGCCAAGGGAGTCGGTGTCGCAAGATCAGCCAGTGACCGGCCCAGGGACGGTGGAGCAGGTGCCTGCAGCCCAGGCAGCAACACCCAGTCAGTCGTCGGGACGACCCTCGGTCGTGACACAACCGGGTGAGTTTACGACAAACAACCGTCAGCTTGACATACAGGCATTAGATTCTGGATCTAATGAAAGCATAAAGACCAATTCAGCCCTCGTCCCTACCGTATCGTTCCCTTCCATAGTACCAGGGCGGGATGGAGGTCTAAATCCAGACCTGGGGGATCATGTAGAGTCTAGACTTAGATCTAGATCTAAACCCGAAACCAATCGATCCGATCCCGTCTCAATCTCAATCCCCATCCCCATATCAACCTCAGTCTCAACAAGTCCCGATGCCATCTCCAATCTGACCAATGTCGCCCCAAACAGAAACCCTGGGTATCACGGTTCCCCACAATTTGAAAGAAAAAATATGGAAGGGAGAATACGTCGATTTTAACGGGTTGCTAATACTAGGCAACCAGGGGATGACGGCTCGAGGGCAGGGATACGTTCCAATGGAACAGTGTCAATCGGGTTTTACTGTAGTTCAAACGGGACAACAACTCACGCTTAAACCAACAGTAACAGCAAGAAACAAGATCTACAACATTGAGGCGTGGACAAACGCCTTTTTGACATAATTTGCGAGTGTCTGTTTGCAGGCACATCCAAACTGCGCACAAGAGATCCTAAAATATTGCCACCTCATACGGTCGGCATCGAGCAAATACACGGGAGGCGATCACCAGCCAAACCGCATGAAGCAGATCTAG